TAGTCTTTACAGGGGGCCTCCTCTCTACAGAGGACCTCATCTCTGCAAAGGCCTTCGGCCTCCGGCTTGCTAAAACCACAGTTGATTTGTATGTGTGTGTACCTTCCTGGTTTTGTTTTTCTAGTATGTTCTTTCTTATGACTCGAAAGTCATTTTATAAATTAAATTTACTCCCTCCATTGCAATGCACATTTTCAAGGCCACCAGTTACTTTTAAAGGAAATAGTTCACTTTCATGAAATTATTTTTTTTGCAACGATTTATGATTTTTTATGTTCAAAATAATCAGCAAAGAAAATAAAACCTTTTTATAACAAAATATTTTTTTTCTATATTTTGATATAGGAAGAACTTTTCAGTTTCTGTAAGGCACACGCGATCCAGTATGAAAAGAGCATGGGTCCCGAAAATTCTTCAGAAACAGAGAAATTATCGCAGCCACCGGCATTTGGGCGATCTGCTCGATCTGATAATGTTCCCCTGAATGTCCTAATTGATCAGTACGAGAATTTCTCTAGAGTTCTCGTAGATAATTTCTCTAGTTTCTGAAGAATTTTCGGGACCCATGCTCTTTTCATACTGGATGGAAATATATGCAAGGCACACATCCTCAACGCAAGACACCTTTTTCGGGACGAGAAATAGAATATCTTTGCCTAGGGTGATCGTTGGGCTGTAAAAGCTCCTGATTTATGCTCGTCTCAGCCCAAGCTACGGAACTGCTATTCCAGTTCAAAACCCATGTTAAAAAGTGAACTATTTCCTTTAAGGCCAAAATTGGGTAGTCGTAAAGCAGAGAGGCGCTATACCCAGACTCCAAAGATGCTTTATAATCGGACCAAACCAAACCAAACCTAACCAAACCTGACCTAACTTCACCTACAACCTACAACCAAAAACCTGCAACCTACAACTTAAAACCTACCACCTAAAACCTTCAACCTACAGCCTAACCTACAGCGTCTCAATGGTTGCAAAAAGAAGTATGACGCCTGCTTTACTACTACCCCAAGTCGTACCATTTAACCTTGCCAAGTTGAGCTTTCTTTGATTTGTCCATATTTTAAAATGTTGGGGGGGCTGACTGGCAAGTTGGGGGGGCTGACCAGCCAGTTGGGGGGGCTGAAGCCCCCCCAACTGTATAGGATCCTACGCCCCTGCAAAACGCTTCGAATCTGTCTCGGACTCTCGAGCACGTTGCACGCCACCGGTCGCCTTACGGTCGTCTGACGCATTTGGCTAGCAAGTGAGCTTCATATTTGGGATTTTAGAGACTAAATATACAATATTCGCCAGACTAATCGGTTTTCCGTTTCATGCCATCCGGATCTGGTCCCCCTAAAAAAAAACACACACACACACACACACACACACACACACAAACAACCAGGCCGGCTACCCCTGGTTGTTTACCGGGGTGAGCTTCACCGTTTCATTCATTCTTATTTAATTAAAAACTTCGCGAAAAAATGAGTGTTAGCCGTTACCTACGAGATGCAGTGGATGACCCCTACCCAATTTAAAGGTTTCAGGTCACACTGATTACCGTGGCTAATTAGCTGAATAGCAACCGTTTTAGGACCGTGCCGATATCCACGTTCAATTTAGGTACAAGGTCGTATGCTATGGCACACCTACGAATGTCTGCAGTCAGATTTCACTGTCTGACTGCAGTCAGACAACGAAGTGAGCTACCTACCTACCTGAAAATGAAATAGATGACGGACCGTTTATCACCGTGACAGAAAGTCGCCACCGCTCAGATGATCAAAGGTCTGAGATTGTCAAGCCAAAATTCAGCTCTCTCTTTACGTACATCTCCAAAAGATTCAGAGCAATCGCAAAAACACGTCATGGTTAGGTATCACCAAACCGGAACACTCCTCGTCCATTGCGAGCTGCGCGAATTAAATTAGCCTACGATAAAGCCTTGATCACACAGATCCACACTACTTATGAAGTTCTGTATGTTGGAGACGGAGTACCTGTGCCCATCGGCATCGTCAATGGTAGTGCCGCCTTAAAACTTTTCTCGTTTCCCTACTCCGCCGGTTGTCAATAGTCGAGTTCTAGGAATCAATCGATGGCACCATAAACAGTCACGCGACAAACGCGTCAGCTGCCGCCAGACTTCACCAGGCGCTCCTCGAGCTGGCATCATTCCGATGCACGGGCACCACCGCGATTGGCTGCAGGGTGTGACGTCATACCATTCACCGCCTCTGATTGGCCAAACGGCTATGACGACACAACGACCGCGCGCTTCTAGTGGACTGGGTGTGACGTCACCCTTATTACGCAACACATTCTCGAGCCTCGTCGAAAGCTCTGGCCAAACGCGAACCGAGCAAACAGAACTACTATAAAAGCTGAGCACACTCCGTCGAACAAACTTCCTGAACGAGGACGGGTCGACTTTCCGGCGGAAGAATCATCGCAGTATGGCGCTGCGGCTACAACAGCTGCGGGGCCCAGCACTGGTGCGGCCAGCGCTGAAGGTCCGTCCCGCCAGCACCAGCTCCAGCACCAGCACCAGCGACCAGTCGTCACCAGGCCCGCGCCGGTACCGTCTGACCGTGGACGCCGTCTCGGTGCGTCTCTACCCCCGGTCTTTGTTCTGGGACCCGCTACCCAGCGCCCTGAGTTGGTGGAGCAGCCCCCTCAGTCTGATTAGCGGCCCCCGCTGGCCGCTGGGGTTCGGAGGGGTGGCGCTGAGACCCGGCTGGTTACTGGAGCAGGTGGTGCTGAGCGGTGTGCTCTCACCTAGACCGGAAGGACAGAAGACGCAGCAAGAGGGATCAACCCCTAAGGGACAGGAGCTGCATACATCTGCAGGATCAGAGGCGAAATCTTCTGATACGCCGCAAGGAAAGTCAAACGGAAAAGCGAATCCTACAGCAGTTGGCGAGGCAACCAAACCCAACACCACAGCTTCTGAGGACAGCAACAGTCGCGACTCAAACTCCTCACCGAGTCAAAGCGGCGCCTCTGACTCCGACTCCTCATCCGGAGTCACCGACTCTCGGTCCGGAGTCACCGACTCTCAGTCCGGACTCCCCACCTCCACCGACCCGGCGTTTCGAATGAAGACAGACGTGGAGGGGTTTTCTGATGACGAGGTTAAAGTGACGGTGGCGGACGGAGCTGTGACGGTTCAGGCAGAGCAGGAGAGGACCACCGATGGAGGGAGGTTCAGCAGGAGGGTCTACAGGAGGGTCACTCTGCCTCCCGGAGTGGAGGAGGGCCAGGTCACTGTTAGGAGGGAGGGGGGTGCTGTGATCGTGGAGGCGCCACTGCCCCAGTGAGGCGGGGTTTGGAGAGAGGGCGGAGGGGAGGAGAGAGGGTGGGATAACATCGGCTGGGATGGTGGACAGTGACAGTAGCGTTGGCGGTAGTCTTGCGAACACTCGTTCATACGTATCTCGGGCATTCGATCGTGTGAGTGAAAACCACGAGCGGATAATGCAGAAATAAAACAAAAGATAAAATGATAAATCGACTCTTATTAGAAAGACAAAACAAAGATGATCACAACCGAGGCCTCCCGCTGACTGCGGCGAAAAACAATAAATAGAAAACTACATAGCAGAGCACGATGTTCGATGAATACACAAAAAGACAAATATAAAGCTCGACAGCTGAGCAGAGATTCTGCGTGGCAAACAAAACACTATCACTCTGCCACACATTCTATTTGTGACGACACACGACTTCGCATAGTTTTATCACAGACACAACATGCACAGACTCGTTTGTTTTGATTCTACGGGTTGTCCGTCATACGGACTTTGGAGGCAGCTAGCACACAGACTAGCACAACACGGCTACCATACGACCATCCTATAAAACTATTGCCACCGCTTTATTTGTACACAGATCCGGGCTGGAAGAAACTGAGGGCTCGTCACCGCTACCGACGCTGCCGACGACGCTACCGGCCGCGCACCAGCACACCCCGCGCTCTCTACCTCTGGAAGCAGCTAATGTCCGGCCTGGGCGCCGCGCCGCGGGCGGACACTCCGCGCTACACTCCGCTGACGGCGGACGCTCCGCTGGCGCGTCTCACTACTACACGGCGCCGCCGTTCTCGCCGCCGCCGCCTGTAGATGGCAGCACGACCGCGTCAGACTCGGCCAGGTGGCGCCACTCGCCGGCGCCGCCGCCGCCCGACCAGGCGGACGCGGCCTTCTGGTCCTGAGCGGCCCAGGCGGCGCCACTGCAGCGTCCAGAGTGCACGTGACTCGACATGTGGTGCTTGTGCGTGAACTTGCGGCCGCAGCCGGAGCACGAGAAGCGCGGCTCGACGCCGCACTCGTACTCGCGGTGCCGGCGTAGGTTGCCGCGAGTACTGTAGAGCCGGCCGCAGCGCTGGCACTGGGGAGGCGCCGAGTTGCCGCCGCCGCTGCCGCCGGTACCGCCTCCTCCTCCGCCGGCCGCACCGCCGCCCTCTCCGGCCAAGAAGTGCCGCAGCGTCGACAGGAACTTGTCTGTAACACAGTAGTCAATGAGCGCCGGTGTGAGACATTGTGAGGACGCACAGTACGTCGGGCGAAGGTTAAAGATCGCCGAGTATTTCAGGTGATACCTACCTGGCAGCTTAAAAGGGGTAGGAATAATGGTTCACGGATCGGTTGGAATTTACACAGTCGACATGGCGAGAGGACATAGCGATATGAAATTACGGTCATCTACACCAGGGTATACCTACACTTGCATCATCTACACATGCAGTTGCCACCGCTATTATCATCTCTAAAGGTCTTCTCCCCGAAGCGCTCCCGACTGCTGAGCTAGTCACTCTATTCATTGGCCCAGCTAACAGTATCCTTTCGATATCATGAGTTGAGTTTCACCATCGCCCAGGCGACGAACCCAGGAGCTTCATCGGTCTGCCCCTACAACTAACTAATAATCATCGTCCCTCAGATTCCAAGCTCTCCCTACGATTCACAGCCACCCCATCTCAGTCAGTACCACAGCCGTCTCACCAAACGCTCCGGCAGGGATTTGACTTTATTGTTGTATTTCTATGTTACATTATTTCCGGCAGCACGCCGCCCCTTCACCGACACCTACTGGAAGACTAACGGCCGCTCAGCAGACGACTCGCGCTCCCTGCGCTCTCCCTGCGCGCCCGCTGAAAGGGCGGCCGGGGTTCGAACCTCGAGCCGTCTTCCAGGGCGAGCTCAGGGTGTAGAACGTGATGGCTCAGCAGACACGAGTGCACACCCGGTATCGACGGCACTCTGTCCGCTCAGATACAGATACACGGCGGCGGACAGGGTGCGCAGGATGACGCCAGTTCCGCCGCGGACACGGAGGCGGCACAGGCGCCGAGTCGTTGAAACGTCACAAGGCGACAGGCGGCGGCCGGCCGGCGGGACCGCACCGCTCACAACGCAAACATGGCAGGCAGGCACCTTTTGATTTGGACACTTCACCACCCCTCCCTCCCCACTCTGCCGACCCGACTATCTACAGTACAGCGGCGGCACCACGGCGGTCACTGTCCCTCCCTCCCTCTACCCATCTGACCCGTCACAATCCACGGCCACAGGCCTCGGCACCAATTCTCTCTCACTCTCTCTCCCCTCAGGTAGACTATTTCAGCCCTCAAACAACGGCAGACGCCGACGTAAAATTACCAACGCTTCAATCACCTCATCACACCCGCGTACCAGTACATAGTAAAACACGTCATCGCTCGGGTGGTTATCTCTGAACACGGCTTTACACCTGTGCCCCATACACGCATGGTTTCCTGAGTGGGTTGATTGGGAGTGGGCTGGGGTAGTGGAGAGTGTAGAGCACCGAACTCTATAAAGGTGTAGAGTGACTACTCTAGTGGACGGGGCGGGGTGGCCGGGGCCACCTCTGATCAGTCGGGCAAGCGAGGGTTTGTACTAAGGCGATCAGGCCAGGGGCAGGCCAGCGTGCGCCCCAGGCGGGCCGTCGCCAGCTGCTGAGGTCGACATTGCAGGAACAGTCCACCAGACGGACTAAACGGGAACAAAACCTGAGACGTTATCAATATGACAAACGGGGCAACATTTCCTGAGACACGTTTCGCACGCGGCAAACAATGCCGTCATTCCTGAGACAATAGGTAATCAAAGTTCATCGAAGTCCCTGAGCCAATCAGCTACCGACAATAGTCGATATTCCTGAGACAAAACAAACACAATCGGACACAATCCGTCATCGCGCGAACGAACACACAGAGCACACAAACAGTTCTACAATCTAATACAAAATTTGCACCGGCACGCTTCCCTGAGGCGAATAAGGCCGAATACATTGGATATCCCTGAGACAACTCGAGAACACCCGAAGTCGCCGCTCTCACGCCGCGCCGGCCGGCTGTGCGGGGAGACTGAGGCGCCGGGCCGGGCGGGAGTCAGCCGCAGGGCCTCACCGCCACAGGGCAGCCCGGACTCTACGACTGACTCTGACCCGTCCGGCCCGGAGACCGCCGTCCTGCGTCAGCCGGCCGGCGCAGCGACAGCTAATCTCGCGACGCAACTCATCCCGGCGCCGGCCGCGGCGGCGCGCCGTCAAAATCTACAGAATCTAAAATAAATGCAATTAAAATCCCTGCTGGTAAGTAACCGTATGTCGCTAGTGGGCTTCTTGATTGGCTTGCGAGTGCCCTGCGCGGGGCGCGCCCGCAGAAGAGTCCGTTTTGCACTAAAACAACAACACTGTCGTGGTCTCCTGTGAAGGGCAGACCACACCACAGTCCGCCAGGCTCCGCGGGGTGTCCGTAGTGGCGGAGACCGGCGCCTTTCCGGCCTTTCTCCGCCGGCGATGGCAGCGCTTTCAGAGCACCCGCTATGTACTTGCATATTCCCTGAGGTGGTTGAACCAGCCCAGCCGGTCGCCAGCAGCGCGGCGACTCAGCGCGTCTCGTCCCGCTACATCAGATACTCCTTGATCAACTCCGGGTTTTCCGACTTGTGCGTGGACACCACGTGAATCTTGACCGAGTGCCGGTGCTGGAACTTCTTCTTGCAGACGGGGCACTGGAACTGGGGTTCGACGCCGCACTCGTATTTGACATGCCGCTTCAGGTTGCCGCTGGAGGCGTACTGCCGGCCGCACTTTTCACAGGCGTACTGTTTGCACGGTGATGTGGGCGACTCGCGTCTGAGCAGGAGCGGCAGGCCCATGGGCCCGGGACCGGGGCCGGGGCCGGGGCCGGGGGGCGGCGCGGCGCCGTGCGCCAGCAGCTGGTCGTAGCGCTGCTGCTGCAGCAGCTGCTGGAAGCGCACGTTCAGGGCGCGGTGCAGGAACGCATCTGCAACGAGCCAGGAGAACACAAACGTAAGCCGAACGCAACGCAGCAACCGAGAGAGAGAAAAGAGCAGAGCAGAGCAGAGCGGAGCGAGAGAGAGAAAACAAATCATAACGTCAGCGGCTGCACAGTGATCGAATCGAACACAAAAACGGGTGGCAGGGCGGTCTCAGAGCCGGACCAACTACGGCCCAGCTACGGCCAAACTACGGCCGCTACGGCCTAAACCTACGGCACGGCGGCAGCAACTGAACGCAGCAGCGCCAAAAACAAAACATACCGCCGTCTACGGCACTACGGCTGCGTAGGGTTCATCCCAGCGAGGCAACTGGGGAGGGGCTCGACTAGGCTAGGGCACCGCTAGGGGCTGGTCATGCAGCAGGCAGGCAGGTTGGGGTGGGGTGGGGTAACATGCGGCGGTTCATCAGCGCAGGGTGAGCCGGTGCCGGTCGGCGGTCAGTCGTACATGCGGCGGTCTACAGGTCGGCTCGGCGGCGGCTCGGGGACGTAGGGTGCTGACCGGACGTTCGGGAGAGGCAGAGAGTGTGACGGAGAGGACGGCGGTTGGTCGAGGAGGGCGGCCGCGCTGCTCCACGCCGCGTGGCACCTCGCTGTCTTCGGCCGCTCGTCCGGCGCCCGTCCTCTGCTGAAGTGCAGCACACAGACGCACACACACACCCGGCGGGCGTTGATCGCGACCGGCATACACAGGGGGAGCTCCGACGGCGGGCGGGCGGCCACATATCGGCGTCATACGCACCCCACACAACCGGCACACGCAGCGGAGAGAAGTGCGCCCGGAGCGGGCGGCAGAGGTGGTGTCACACCCATCGCCAGTGCTCCGAGTGAGACAACACGCAGTGAGAGTTGCAGCAGAGCACACCGTGAGTTGAGAGTGGGGGACAGAGTTAGAGAGGGAGGGGCGAGCTGCGGCGGCCACCCGATACGTGGCGCCACCTACAGCGGTGGTGGCGACGGCATCCTCCACCAAAACCTCATGACACCCAATGTGTTACACACACAGCCAGCACCCAGTGGAACCCATGCAGTGCAGCACACACCCGCCAGCACCCAGTGGACACCCGGTGCACCCATCACCGTGCTCAAACACCCACTCAGTCGCGCAGGGAGGGGAGGGGAGGGATGAGGGCGCTGGGGGGCACTGCCGCCACAGGAGCGCCATGGGAGGTGGGGTTTTGATTGGCAATTTGCCGGGGCCAGCTCCGGGGGACGGCCAGTCAGCAGCGCTGCTGCTGTTGTATTGTGTTCCAGACAGTTCCGGGAAATCGACACAGAAAATTGGCTGTCGAGCGAATTCGCGCAATGTCCCAGTAGAGTTCTGGGATGGTGAGGTTCTATGGGTATCGTACACACTATCCAGTACTGGTGGTTATGTTCCAGACAAGACAAAAATGGTTATCTACTATTACTCCCGTGCTTCTGCAAGAACTTTAAACTCTTATCTAAGTAGTCATGCGCACGACAATTGTTAGTCATAACCCAGAGTGTGTGAAGAATACTTCCCCGCACGTTGTGTTTAAATTGTTGAAAAAAAAAACACAAACAGGGAAGGAAAAGTGTTACTGACAAGCACTGTGTCGAAACAACTAAATCTTATTTCTGTCTATTTCAGGACAAAAAGAGAGAGCCAAACATCAATATCCTGCGGCCGTTTTCGACCTGGACTGAATCAATTGTCCGCCCCACTGGCATCTATTTCCACACCACTCCAATTTCAATTTGTGGCGTGCCCGGTCTTCCGACCTGCCCCCATTCCACTGGTCCCCACAGTCGGACCCGTGCGGCGCCGAGCCTGCACGTGAGCGGCGAGCAGGGCCGCGGCGCCGTCATCCCGCCCTGCCGGCGGCGGCGGCGGAGGCCGCGGTGAAGCCATTACCATGGCGATGGCGGCAGGGCGGCTTCTGCCAAGGCCGTCGGGTGCCGCGGCGGCAGGGCAGGGCAGCGCGCAGTGGCAGGACGCGCCCCGCGGCCGGCTGCGTGAGCCGATACCGGCCGGGACCGACCGGCCGGCCGCCCCTGTCACCGGCCGCTAACGCAGGGACCGGAGGCCGCGGCCATAGTAACCGCGCGGCAGGGCACGACACGGAGTGCCATGAAGCTGAACCGTACCCATCAGAAAAAGCGCACCCTCTATAGTCTAGACACTGATTTTGTGCCAGACCAAAAATTATTTCGGTGAAAGATGTTTTTTTTTTTTTAGAAATTGACAACTGAAAACTGCATCATATTTCACCATTGGATGGAAGCTACACAACTCGAAAAACTGTAGACCGCGCTCAAGATTAACTCCGGAAAGTCTAGCTAAAAGTTAATGAAAGTAAGGCATACAAGCTCTAACAAATAACCATTGTATCTAGTCCGACCAATGTGTACAGATGTTTTACAGCCCAAATCAGAGCCTGAGGAAACAGCTTGAGATGTTTCACAAGCGATAAACTGACCGGGTACGAGCAAAAAACAACCCCGCGGCGCTAACCATGCGCCCGATCAAATAAGCGACCGCAAAAACACCAACCCAAACCCAGCCTACAAAACCATTACGGTAAACATTGGTTATAAATAAGCTTCTTTTCTGGGGAACGTTTTCCAGCTGGGTGCGGCTGCGGCACCTGACTCAGTATCGCTACCTTATTCATACGACCCCATGCCGGTACGACTGTTGACGGTAAATAATAAATAGGCCGCTGCAGACGGCCCAGCTGTGTCTCGGCCGTGGGCGGTCGGGGCAGCACATGTGGTGTCCACGGCTGTGTGAGTACTGAGGTAGCCTGTGTACGGGGCGGGGCAGTGTGGGTGTGTGGGGCCACGGCGCGGTGACGGCACGCTACCTTGGGGTCCGCCGGCGTCCGTGGTCGGGATGAAGGGCACGTCCACGCCGCCGCTGTCGCCGCCACCCATCTGCCAGTTCATGTAACCTGTCGGCGGAGACGGTCCCGGTTAGAGCCTGTCAGCGCGGCTCACACGGCCGCCGGAAACGGCGGGCGGGGGGGGGGGGGGAGGGGGCACAGAGGGGCTGGGCGCCAGTAGGGTACACGACTGGGTCACTGTGGGGCGTGGAAGCTAATGCTATATGGGTAAACAGATTGGCACTGGATCGCAAGAGGTGCCACTTGGCACACCGATAAATAAGCCACACATATCCCCACTCGCGCTCCAAGGTCGTAGGGTATAAACGCGCAATAAGAACCAGACAAGCAGCCACACGAACGGATTAATTCAGCACCTACAAAACCGGATAGCCAGCACAGGCGAAACGAATATTTCGCCACGGGCGGTCGCGCACGGCGATTAAATCGCCATCAAATTCGGCCAACAACCGGGTGGCGCCGGCAGGTTCGGTCTCCCGACCGATTTCAGTAACGGTACCTCTCGCATTTCGGCCACTCCGTGCACGAGCAGCGGCGATTTAATGATACAAATGTGTGAATCCAATTTCGAGCGGGCCATCGTATCGTTCGGTACCGTTCCTCCACGGGCTCTCATCCTCAGACCATGACTTTAGCAGTCGAGTCACTTGTCGGCTAGACTGAAGGCACAGCCAGGTAACGCATGTGGTGGAACATTTCACTTCCGTAGTGCCACAAAGCAGGCGATGCCTGCCACAAGTAACTGTAGAGGGTCCCATTTGACACGCTTCGAGGTGGATATTTTGACATAAACAGTGTGTAAATCATAAATGCTGTGATAATTCCCAACAATTATGTTAATCTCGTTCGAAAGTGCAATGTCTTTGGTGACTGCCACTGTAACATCACGAGCCACGACACCCAGTTTTGTTCAAACACATCCAAAAAGACCTTTGGCTCCCCCCAAAAAAAAACTTCCCTCAAGCCTACAGACTGGCGAAAGCGCTAAAGATGCTGGTAGTTAACCAGCCTTTGGCTAAATCACGCCAAAGATATGCATCCGCAGACTACCGTAGACAAAAGGCTCCAACCACCCCAAAGACTGCCGCTCACATCACATACCGCGGCGTTTAATCGACAGTAGCCGCTACTCCCCAGCCAACACACCGTCAAAACCACTGCCGGCGTCATCTCAAACAGCCAGCCGCCCTTCAAAGGTGCTGCAAACAAGTCTCAGCGAAAAATGCCGCCGCCGCCGCCGGCCAGAGTCAGCAGGGACCGCTGCCATTGGGAACAATGAACGGTCGGGCGGCGGCCAGGGCCGAGGGTAAGGTAGGTCGTACACACCGACCCGGGGCTGGGGGGGGGGGGGGGGTCCGCGGTCACCTGCAGAGGTGCCGCTGCTGGGCAACAACACCCGCCCGGGACAAGGTGATGGTCCGCTGGGGACCGCTGCCGAGGGAGAGGGGGAGAGAGAGAGAGAGAGAGAGCGGTGCAGAGGGAGGGGAAAGAGGGGACGCCGCGCCAGCCGGCCGGCCAGACCTGCAGTGGCCCCGCTATAACAATGGTACAGCCGGGCCGGCCCGAACAAAAAAACATCATAGCCGGCCGCGCTCGGCTGCCACGCAGCGTGGTTCGGCCGGACCGGGCGGAGAGGTGCCAGGCGTGGACTTCGAGACAATCAACGGCAGTGGCGGACCGACTCATGGTCGGAGTCGGTCAGGGAAACAACTCTATCAAACACAACTGAAATGCGTAAACCGCTACCACCGCCCATAGCAAAACGTTGGCACCTCCAGGGATGCGAACTCGCCGGCTCCACTGGGGCGTTTTATCGTCCAGCCAAGCTACTGAGGCCGACAGCAGCTGCGGCGGGCGCCCACCGGCTGTCACGAACTGAGTGAGCCATCAGGCCACCCGGTCCCCGCGGCGCGATCCCCCAGCCAAGACAAATCACCCTCAGCGTAAAAACACACATCCGCTTTTTATCCGGGCCCGGCACGCGACTCAGTTTGTCGAGTACCCCGTGCCGTGAGAGGGCTAACGTGTACCAAGCGACGAGCGCAAATAGACCGACTCACACCAGGGGCGGCGGCCGGCGCGATCAGCAGTCGGCGCAAACCGGCCGTGTCAATATCCCCGCACCGGACGTTGGGTCCGGCTGGCCCAGCGGGCCGCCATGTGTGGACAGCCGTGACACAGCGCACCCGCCCCCGACAGGTCGGCCGGCCTCGCCACTGACACTGTATTCAGGGCAGACGGGCCGCCAAACTGTGACAGGAAGCCAGGGCCAGGGCCGCGCGCGCCGAGCGGTCAGCACCGCCCGCCTCCTCCCTCCCACCGCTCGCCCGGGAACAGACCAGAGACCGATCCCACTTCAGTAAAACAAACACTCCACAGGGCAGAGTGCTAAACGATCAGCAACGCTGCTTAGATATACATTTTTTACGGACACCGTATTCAGAGCTATGACCACAGAGTACAGTGATATTAAAAAGTTTAATGGCAGTGAATTTCAAAGAAATGGGCCACATAGCGATGAGTTGCTGTGTTTTGTTTTATTTTCCTTCTTTATTAACATCAGGGTTCTTTTTAAATCTCACTTTGAGCCACAGTTCAATCATGTCAAGTGTTTGGGTGCCTGGTACATCACCAAATCACCGCTTTGCTGTAGCGAATTCCCAGATAAGATCGCTGTTTCCATGCAGTATGAAGAAGGAAAGTCTTTACAAATACAACAAAAAACGTAAAACACGCTACGTGCTCTTAGCATTTTTACGTGCTGACTTCCATCGCAACATTCCAGACCGACGATCGTCTGGATGGATACCTCCCCAGTGGCCATCCCCCCCCCCACCCCCCAATCATCTGTTTCTAGCTGTCAGTGGACTGTGTCCTATGGCCCCGCGGTGCCGGTCCTCCTGGTGCACTACCGCCCATCAGCGGCACCCACTGCGGGCAGGGGCGGGTGTCCTCGACTCTGCCGCCCTGTGCCGCCGAACCCACGGCACAGGCTCACAAAAACAGCCGGCGCCGCCTGCCATCAGTTCGAACCCCCCCCCCCCTTCCCCCATCCTCCGCGGTGCGTAGGAATTTCCTGCCGGCCAGTTTTTTTCTTTGCCATGACTCGGCGGCGCTGCAGGGTCGGTCGGCGCGGGCAGAGTGGGCCCGGCGGGGCGGGAGAGAGAGGGCGCACGGACGGACGGGAGCTGGCGCGGGCGGGCGGGCGCCGCTCCCGCTCCCGCCGCACAGAGCTGGCTGCCCAAGGCCGAGCAACCCAAAGTTCAACATTCCCGGCGGCTCGGCGCAGCGGCGGCGCCGGGTGAACCCTCATGTCGCCGAGCGGACCGGCAGGCCGACATAGAAACTGGTGGCAAAGATCGGCCCCTGACAACACCCAGACCAGCCATGAATTATTCTCGCGCGTCATGTATGTTCTCTGTTCTGGCCAGTTGTATCCAACTGCGGAAAGACAGACCAGAGCCAGCACACCCTGTAATGTCAATTGGCGTCACAAAGTGACGCGAGCTAACGCCACTCGGTGTGACGTGACTGACATCACTTGGTGATTGGTGACGTGACGGTTAGCTCAGCTGGTGAACCACAGTTTTATTTTTTATCAGTGAGAGCAGAAGACCACCGTGGGCGTCGGTTTGCACCTGTTTCGCCTCCAGCTTTTTCTTTTGCGACCGAATGCTGCGAAACGGACTCGCTGATCCGTTTACTGATTTCACCGATCACTGCAAAACCCTGCGAAACGATCACAAAACAATCTGATCAGTGTCAGCCGTCATTCGCTTCTGCATTACCTCCAGTACACCGCACCAGCCATTGCTATCTCCAAATCACCCTGGCCAAAACCGTGTACCGGACGGACCACATTCCTCGTCTCAGTTCGGTCCTGATCCCACTCCCACGCCGGGCTGTGGCGGTGGAGTCGGCGGGGACGGGAGACACGGCCCCCGGTGTCCACCAGAGGTGACAGTTACCGCTCTCAGCGCGCTGACAGCAGCTCATGGCGACGCTAATACCCGCCGAGTGGTCAGCGGCGGCGCTGGGGTACGGGTGATAGCCATACGGGGTCGTTCCCAGTGAGTGCCAGTGCCCGGTCGCGGGGTCATTGGGTGCAACTGCACACCAGCGGCCGCAGTACGCAAGCCGGGGGTTAGCCCCCTCGGCTGCAGCGCCAGCCATTGGCCCCACTGCATTCCATCAGGTATTGTTCATCGCGAAGTCCCTGCCCCAGGTGGGGAGGCGTGACCAGGCGTCCCGGGACTGACCGAAGTCTGATGGACACACGCCCAGTCAAAATGGCACACAAAGGAGGCCGCCGGAAAGGATCAGTCCACCCGACCCGACCCGACCGGGCACTGTCAGTGCACGCAGGGAAACCGCTCAGGCAGAACGATTCCACTCAGCAGGGTATGGACGAGACTCTGTCGGGTGTAATCCCACGCACAGATCCGCCTGGTCGCACGGTCGGCGGGCTATTTTTAGGGTCGAGCCCTTTCCGGAATCAATGGATTTATTCCGCTGCAGAGGGGGAGAGCCAGGGGACAGACAGAGGGGTGAGCGCCGCCGCTCAGGACAAAACTGTCCGGCTGTCCATGACACGCGTGAGCGGGCTCCGGGCGGCCCTGACCCGATCCCGGCTGGTATTCACGCTGCTGCCGCTCAAACGGTCACCGCCGGCAGAACAGACAGTCTGCTTCACAAATCGAGCCTTTTCATCGCCTAATTCTGCTCACGTCCCCTTCCTATGTCCCCTCCCTCGTGCAGCGCAGTCAATTCATATTATTGCCACTCACGTCTCCCCATCCTGTGGAGCTTATCACCGTGAGTCACCAATTATTGTCCCCCGATTTCTCCTGAAGCCCCTCGAAACCAATCTTGCTAGGCCATCGATAAAAATCGACCTGTAACCACTCCTCTTCCCTCGCATCGCTCCTGCTATGCTTCACTTTCTGGCAATCTGTCCTTGCTTCCCCATTCCGCCGAGTTCCCTTAGCGCGCTGTCGCTCCATCTACCGTCCCACGCGCTCCCCGTCCCTGCAGACCCTGGCGGCGCC